AATGAATGAATAAATAAATAAATAAATAAATAAATAAAACTTCATCATTAGAAATACATAAATTTTAGGATTTTTCTTTTAATATTTTTAACATTTTCAGACATGTATAAGTGAATCAGTGGACACTTATCCTGCAGGTAAGGGGGCCCTACTGTAATGGGAATAACTGGATATAAATGACAGGGAATGCTGCAGTGAGGGTAATGAAATGCCCTGTTCCCTGAAAATAAGACCTAACCTGAAAATAAGCTCTAGTATGATTTTTCAGGATGCTTGTAATATAACCCCTACCCCAAAAATAAGCCCCAGGTTAGTGAAACCCTGCCCTCCACTACTGTGCAGCAACCGGAAGATGACATAACTGTATTTGAATAAACGTAGATTGTACATGAAAAAAATAAAGCATCCCCTGAAAAGAAGCCCTAATGCGTTTTTTGGAGCAAAAATTAATATAAGACCCTGTCTTATTTTCAGGGAAACAGGGTAAGCAAAACAAAATTTAGCTGGATGTCCTAAAATAGTGCTTTTATCAATATTTGAAAAGTAGATAGATAACTGGATAATGAGAGAATTAGTTTCTAAGCTTTTAACAGTGCCAAGACCGATTATTTCTAGGAACTGGAAATCCGTTCACAATATACCATTCAGTGATTGCTACAGAAAAGTCTGGGATACAGCAATTAATAATAACCTTACATGCAGTATAAAAGTTAAAAAGGGGATAACTAGTAAATATGTGTTTGCAGATATACGGGGAGATTTTATTGATTTTGTATTGATAAAAGGGAAGAGACGAAGCTCAACACATGAGTCTATACAATATTAGAAGGGGAAGGGGCCCCCCCAGAATGGTAAATGGTTTAAGCCCCAATGGTCCTGGTGGTGGGGTGCACTGTGTATGTAGTTTTTTTCCCTTTCTTTTTATTTTTATTTACTAGATGTTTTAATGTTTATTAGTTCCTGTAGTCAGTATTTAAAAAAAAACAGTTGAAAAAAGGAATAACTGGAGGGGGAAGTCTCTTGTTCTTGCTATCTGCTTTGCACTGATAAAACATATCATTCACTCTGGACAAAATGAAGACACCATAAACTAGCCTCTTACCATTGGATATGTGATGACAAGGGCCACCCAACCAACTAGTAAGACCGTGCTCAGGACAACTGTGGCCACATCCTTCAGTATGGAATCGACAGGCGTCTCTGGTCGGGCTGCAGTTTGGCTAAGTGGCTCTCCGGCGTTTTCTGGCATGGAAGGAGGCATGTTTTTCGCAGAATTCCCAGTGATGTCAATTGCCTGAGTGGATCAAGGATTATTTTAGTTCAGACTATTTAACAACAACTTCCCACCTGCTTTGCAACATACTTATATTAAGAAGGAAAATTTCTTCTTGACATACAGTAACACACAATCACGCAAAGCAAAACTGATCCACACTCTTCTAGAACTCTTTAAAAAAAAAGAGCACAATCAACAATAAATTGCAGCATGGTCAAGAGGGAGAGTTATCAACCACTCACTTATGTTTTCTAAATAAACAAGGGCTAGCCACTGTCAAGTAAGTTCTGTGAAGATGTGAAAAACTGTATCTGTCCAAATACAGTGAGCAAAATCCTGCCGCAGAACTAAACAAGCCTAACCTGATGTTGCACCCACGGCAAACATGACAGCGCTGAAGCAGAACTACCCACAAAACACTTCTGCCAGCACTCTGTACAACAGAACCGTGCAATTCCTTGTTGCCAAGCATAACACTGACCTGGCACATTTACATAGGAGTGAACAGGATTTTGCCCAATGTCTATCTATGATATTGGTTTGGAGCTAGGCTTAATGCACAGCTGAAGCCTTGAAATTAAGGATACTTAAGCTAGTTGTGAAGAGTTAGCGTGGTATGGTTCTTATATTGTCAGATTAGGGCTTAGGAGACCTGAGTTCAAGTCCTTTCTTTGCCAGAAATACTCACTGGGGAGTGCTAGTGGTGAATCACTCCATGAATCTTTCACATACCCCCTGGGAACCCTTCCAGAATCACCCTAAGTTAGAAGTGACTTGATAGTACACAGATGTGACTAAATTCAGTCCCACAGATTTTTTTTCACTAAACCTGAACCCTACCTTACATTAACCAAAGTTCTCCAGCATATTATCTATTTTCTGTGTGCTAGAGGTGCTTGCTTGCGCGCGCGCGCACGCACGCACACACACACACACACACACATTCCACTCTTAATGCAGCTCCTAGTACCCCTTCCATCTACAGGACCGATCAGGTCCTCCTTGCCTTAGTTTCAGCAATGTTGCTATCAGGCCCTGTTCTCAGGCTACGGACTGTGAAATCACTAACTGGCACGGGATGGTTGGGGATGTTACCCCCGCCTACTTCCTTTGCAAAAGAGGTCAAAGTGCCGAGCAATGCAAAAACTGGTCCCATTACAGAGATCCAAAAACCTTTTGCAGCTCTGCTAGTGACAGATACAAAGGTTGAATTTTGAATGAGAGGTTGTTGGAGAGCAAAATAAAGAACATGACATGTGCTTTCTGTCCCTCTGCACTACGATCTCCTCTAACCATACCATCCACCCTAACATCAGCCTCTGGCACTCTGGTTAATTTGAAATTAGTCCAGATTATAAATAAGAGACAAAGTCTCAGGATGTAGAAAATAGAATCGAGTTCTTTATTCTGTATTCTTTAAATGGATAGTTAAAAAGCTCTGACTCAACATGTTTCGGCGAAGCCTTCTTCAGGAGCTAAGCATAATACAAAACCACATATTAGATACTGAATCATTCACATTAATCATTCACAAATATATCTACAGCTGGCTTGGGACTCTCAATTTTACATAAATACATACATTTATACTGAGCACATTAGGCATGATAAAATATATTAGACAGAATATAAAACACATACCGAACATCTTTATACTCTTTAACTACCCATTCAAAGAATACAGAATAAAGAACTCGATTATATTTTCTACATCCTGAGACTGTCTCTCATTTATAATCTTGACTTCTGTGGATGTACCAGTTCCTTTTATTTTAATTTGAAATTAGCCCAGGTTTGTGAACATTTCTTCTTGCTTTTTTATTTTATTGTTTATTTTAGATAGTATACTTGAATTTTGGGTATTGATGTTGGTTTTGTGTTTTTGTTTATCTTTTTAATGATGATTTTAGTGTGTAAGGTATCTTAAAAGAGTCTTTAAAGTGCATATACAGTAGGAATTCATAGAAACAAAAAAGGCCATGTGACTGGGAAAATATATGAATTATTTTTTGCCTACTGATTTTTGTGACAGTAGGATGGATGAAGGAGCTCATTCTGCACATTCTATAAATGCAAAGGTGTAAGATCTGAAATGTACAAACTGTACGCCACTCTCTGCACATATTTTTTACATGACATGAAATACTCCGTACTGCTACTTTCCCAATGAGTTTAACAGGATCAAATGTTGTCACAAACCTCTTCAAAAGCAGCTTTGTCTGATTCTGCAGGGATCACATTTTCATGCCGTCTTGGCAAATTCCGTGGAAATTTCTCAAGGATTTTTGTTGAGGCTGACAGTGGTGTTTCATGGTGACCTTGAAATAGGAAAACACCTTCTGTTATTGCCCAAGAAAAGAAAAAATTGGGTCACATCACCATAGGATATACTTATTTTCCTGTGGCTTGAAAATATGGCAACACGTGGCATTACAGGCTGTAAGAACAGTCCTGCTGGATAAGAAATGTCTGCCTCTAGGTCAACCTCCCCCCCCCCACTTCCCTCACAGGCTGTGGCCAGGACAGGAAAGCAATGTGAGCGTGAAGGTCTGCTTGGGAACTCCTCATGATAGGGTGATAGAAAACACCGCCCTTCAGTTGCTGTTGGACTACAAATCCCATCAACCCCAGCCAGCACAGTCAATGGTGAGATGTTTTGGAGCTGCAGTTCAATAGCATCTGGGGTGGTATACATTCCCCATTTTTGCCTTATGCTTTTATCCACCCCCTCCACACCACAACCCAATAAAGCTAAATGAAGAATTCTGCAAATCAAACACATGAAGGGGATTTTCATAAAATGGCTCTGTAACATGTAAATCCATGCACAGACTTTAAAATGCATGCTCATTAAATCTTTCATTCTATGGTTCTTTCTCATGGCAGGATATGACCTGATTAGGATCAGGAGATTAGATTTAAATCTAGATGGTGCGAATCTTGCACCCAGTACTAGCAGCAGCACACACCCAACACTGAGCTCTACCCTCCCATGTTCTGAATACAGAGGCATGCTTTACAAGAGAGATGCTGAAAGGGTGGACAGCTGTTTGCAGAATTTGAGATTAAACAAGACATGGAAGTGTTTATGCTTCATTTTTTAAGTATACTACTACTGCTGCTTCATACCAAAGGGAACTGCATTATTTCATCCTTATGGTCTTTGTCATTTCTTATTCATTATAAGGTGGTAAAGTACCTTTATCGTTAAAAATATAAATAATGCACTTTTAAAATAGCTAAAACTTCTATTTTAAAGTTGCATTTTGCCCACTAGAGAGCAGTGCAATGCAGAAGTCAGAACTGCTGTTTACTTCCTGATACCTATTAAAAGCCAGTGGTTCCTCAAATAGCGGAGACTGTTCTTTTGTTTAAATTCAGATGGAAACTTCAAATCAGTACTTGGGGTAATAACACACTCTTCAATGGTAACACCATGAGTTTTTGGACCCTCTATTAGAGGTATGGGACTTCCTCTGGGCTAGAGAGAGAGAAAAAAACAGAGACAAAGAGAGAGAGACAGAGATGCATCATCACCGTTTAGGCAGTTGCCATGTAACATTTGCTCTTTTGCAAAAGAAACACCAAACACTTTAAGTTTGTATGATGCTTTCCCCACACTCAGGGACATTTTTAAAACAGAACAATGAAGACCTCTGTCACATCATTGGCAAGCAGTTAATCAACTCAAAGATTATAGGGCATAAGGAGTCTCTGTTGCTGACATAAATAAATTACTCGGAAGTTAATTTCAGGCCTTTTGTTGGTACTTTCTCTGGGCTAATAATTCAAGGCATCACAATATTTTAGCCTTAGCAACAACTGGCAAAGGAAAGTCAGTTGCTATGCCTTGTAATGAGAAAGACTTTGCTCGTGTCATTGGTCAGATACTTTTAATAAATATTGATTATTCATATCTTTGAATAATTCTTAATGTACAATTATGCAAACCAATTTAGTCTGCATCAACACAGTGGCAATTTTGCTACAATTTATTCTACTTCTCCTTTTTATTCTCTCTTTAAAGAGACCAAGTTTAAACTCCACCCAGTCATCTTTGTGCAAAATGTGTGTAGCTTTCTTTTGTTTTCAGCACCAAATAAACTCTTATTACTTAAAGGGTCAAAATACTTTTCCATGATGAAGCCAAGTGTAATTTGCTGACCCGCATCAATAAATGCTGAGGTATGACTTACATACATTGTCTTGAAACAACAGACGGACTGAGTAGGAATTCAAATTGTAAAGAAATATGGGAAGGAATTCACATTTTGGTACAGCCTTCAGGAATGGGATCTACTGAAAATGGAGACCCAGTATATCACTTACCATAATAGCCACGCCTTCGTGAACCATGGAGGGTGAGGCATACAAGCCTGTGGAATGTTTGCCTACATAGAGGGTGGGCCTAGAAGGAAATCAGAGAGGGGAAGTCAATCATCCTGTTTTCCCTCCCCGCAATGTATAACCACCTGCACTTAAGAGCTAGATATGGCACAATACTAAACCAATGGAAGGACCAAAAGTACACTCATTCATGAGAAAGCCCAGATCTTGTCCATTTCCTGCTTTTGGACAACTCCCTGCCATCCAGCCTCCCCACAGAAACCACTAGAAACTGCTCCCACAGGCGGGAAAGATTGGTTCTCCATTTGCCCTGCCTGCGTCTTCTTATGCCACCCCCGGTGTTTTAGCTGGGTCAGCCAGTCCATGTTAATGTTTGCTTGGAGTGTATAGGTGTGTAAATATATGTTACATTATCAAGCCATTATCAAAAGTAGCTGCTCATAGACATTTAAAGGGGTCAATCTATATAACCTATCTCAATTTTAAGATTCATAAAATTAAATGTGTAATTTTGAGGGGCAGTTTTAAAAAATAATTCAAAAGTGGTGAAGTGGTCTATAGGCCACAAAAGCTTGTGCCTATTAAAATGTGTGAAGGTGAAACAAGGCACTGCAATATTTAATATGTTTATGTTGCTAAGACTGTGAAGAAAAAAATGCTGATGCTCATATAATTTGAAACTCCAGAAATTGAAATCAAGTTGAAACCTATTGATAAAGTTATACTTCAACATGACCAGTATTTTGTGCTGGTGAGCAAAGTGTGCCTCGTGGATGGCTTCTAACTTCCCCAGGGACCCAATGTGCTCTCCAGAGCTTCGGGTCCTCTGAGCACCACCACTCCTGCTAAAATACATTTTTTAAAATTAAATATTAGTTTATGAATTCTACTTGTGCCCCCAAGGGGTGTGGTAGATAACTCGGCCATGCTTAGGGCTCCTGCAACCATTTTGTGCTCACCCATGTCCCCCAAACCATATGTTTGTCTTCAATTCGGCCACTAGAAAACATGAGAGTTTTTTCTAAGTTTAACACAGCCTCATAAAAAAGTAAATATTTGGGGAATGAGTACAACCCTCCAATGTCTCTTGGACTGGGTACACGTGGGCCTCAGGCCTCTTACTGTTGCTTGTTCCTGACTATTCTAAAGCTGAACTAAGTCAATATGGTGGTTTTAATGGCATAATATAAAACCCAACATCCAACACTGTATCTGAATGTCAGTGTACCTTGATCTCTGGGTGCTCCCCATATGTAAGACCTTTCTAAAGGATAAAAACCTATACTAGTACTAGTCTTGCTGCAGCACTAATCCACTACCATAAACGAGCAGGTAAAACTTCGGCAACAGAGAACAATAAAATTCAGCTGCTCTATACATGTCTGTTCCTAAAAGGAGGTAGGCTAGACTAGAAAGTCAAAAGGTTTTTTTTAGGTTTTTCTGAGAATATTAAGATGTTTTAAAGTAGTGATGTGAAGTTTACCACATTCCTAAATGAATTTTCCTGGCTACAGAAATCAAACATTAAAGGGCTGTTTGAAATATCTGCAGCAACTGGGTATCAGCTTGCTTGGAATTTCTTAAAAATATTAGGCAGATTAATAATACCAATATGACAGCAAATCAATTATCTAGAAACACCATGCAACCTTTTCCTTACATATATAGGCCAGGGCATTCTCCACAATTCACAGGACTGAAATCTACAAGTATTTTTAAAAGCCTTTACTGCTTGCAATCCCTGGGGGTGGAGGGTGTAATGAACATGTGTGTCCTCTTCTTCCCACAATAACAACAGAGTTCACCTAAAATCATGAGCAATTTTAAAAGCCCAGTCATGAAATAGAACATCAGAAGGGGCAAGAATGTATATACACACATATATATATACTCACAATAATTTGTTTTTGGCTTCTGTCTCTTTTGGAAATGGATACTTCCACTTAGTGATGCGTCCAGCCTCACCGGACAGGAATGTCAAGTAAGGCAGTGTTTCTATTCCGACATTTGTGTGCATAACTTTCCACAATCCTTCTCGCTGCCAGATATAAAAAGCTACCACGGGGGAACCGTAATTCTGGATCCACAAGACGTCCCCTGACTCGCTATCCACAGTTACCACCAGTCCATCACCATTGGATGCAAAATGGGACATTTCTGTAACAGGCACACAAAAGAACAAACAAACCCACACAGAGCCTTTGTTGATTCTGAGCCAGTATAAAATGGGCAGTACAGTAGGAAACCCCCGCCCCCATATCTGCAAGGGATCACTTCCAAGCCTTACCCCCACAGATGCTGAAAAAAGCAGAGTGCTATTTTAAAAGCAAATACTATACACAGCATGGTCTCTAGTTCTCTCTTGTGGCCAGTTCTGGTAACTTCATCTTTAGAAATACATGTTTTGGGGGATTCTATATTTTTAATATTTTCAGACTGTGAATCAGCTGATACCGATCCCGTTGATAAGGGGGTCTTTACTGTATTAACATCTCCACCTAGAACAAGGACTAGCAATCTTACTATATTGCACTTCATCATCAGGCAGTGTGGCTGCGTAGTTAAAGTAAGTGGCATTCCAGCGGAGCTCCTTACTCTTGGTATCATACATCGTGATGGTATATTCTGTTAAAAAGAAATGGATATTTTCAATGCCTATATCTAACAATGGCTAGCACAGGCAGTATGTCTCTGAACACTGGTTGCCAGGGAACAGAAAGGGGAGGGTGCCAGCACATCCTGGCCCTAGTTGGCCAACACACTTCTAGACCTCCCTTTACATTCTATTAAAACAAAACCATTCTCCTTATTCAGACAATCTTCAAAGCAAAGTATGTTGGTGTCTTCACATAACCTGTTTTTGAATAGATGGTAAGGAATTAATCAGTCACTTCTGCTGTTTAAAGTAAAATGTCCAAGACACCAACAAAGAAAATGATTTATACAGCTATTGTATACTTCACCGAGTACTTGCAAAATGGCACTTTCCCATTGTTATGTGAAGGTTAATGATTTTTAGGAAAAGCCTTCATCTCGGGAGATTAAATAAACGTGACAACCTGAGCTTATATTATTCCTTTCTGGCCTATCCAGTTTTTTTTTTAAATGACCTTTTGTAGAAAAAAAAAAGAGTCTTACCTGTTCGGCCAAGATACAGGAGAGATGTAGATGGACACAAGCTTTCAGCAAATGAAGAGGTTAAAGTCTGCTGTTTCTCCCCTGTTGCGAGGTCAACCACATACCAGCTATCCTGTTTCTTCCCTAGCAAGAAATATCAGCAGTTGGGCATCATGCAGGTTGATTCTAAATTTGTTGCCTTCCCACCACTCCCTGGTAAGCAGCAACTAGCTTCTCCTCTGGAGGCCAATCCCTGGCTTCGTCACAGGCAGAAGGCTTGCCAAATTCCCCAGGAGTTAGAAAGGAGAAGCGGGACAAAGGAGGATCACCCCCCCACCCCACCCCATTTGAGCATAGTTCACATAAGCCATCCCTGCTGCAGGTTAGAGGTCCGAGCAAGTGAGAGAGAAAAGGATACCTCCCAGGGAAACAGTGAGGAGAAGTAATGAGGAGTGACAAGGAAAGAACAGAAGACTAGCCTGGGTTTGGAACTAAAAAGAGGTCCAAACTATTTAATGTTGTTCCTGTTTCTGAGTTAACATCCAGTTTAACAAATCCTGTTGATGTGAATGAAACTGTGTCTCTGGCCATGGAGAAAAATACAGCAGGACTCTCACATTCATGGGGGAATCGGTTCCATTCCCACCATGGATGCACGAAAACGTGGATTACAGCAAACGCTATTATAAAAGTGAACACTAAACATTGCATGGTTCCTCTAGTGGTGGGTTCTGCTAACTTCATAATTAGAAAATACATATATTTTCATTTTAATATTTTTAGACGATGGATAAGTTGATCAGCAGATGCTGATCCCATGTATCAGGGGATTCTACCGTATAGAAGAAGGTAAACGTGGCAGTCCTATGGTGGCAGGGGTGTGTGTGCACAGGAGGATAAAGCAGGGTCATGTGAAATGGCTCGCTTACATTGAGGCGAATAACTCAGGAATAGGACAAGAATATACAACCATAGCTACGAAGAATACCCAAGTGTAAATACTGTCTGCATTGCACAAATACGAGAAGCAACGGCCACAAATAAATGCATTTACTTTTAAGGATTTAAATAAGGCCATACCCATGTACAGAATGCCATCCGAGCTCCGGCAAGGGGACGCGTGGACTAGCTCAGGGATGGTGAATGGCAGTTTCTAGAACATAAATATTCATGTTAACAATTTTAATTTCTTAATCAGCATTTCATGAATTTTGCAAGATAAAAATTAATCTGCAAACTTCATTTCTAAGCATGCTGTCATTTTAGGGTCAACTGAATGAGGCCTGGAGTTTGCCTGCTCTTGCATTTCCAAGTACGTCAGTACCAATTAGAATTATCTGCAAAATGCATCTGCTTCATGTCACATGACGTGACAGAGATTTGTATCAGTGAGGCTGTGGCATTAGCTTTTTACAGCGACACTTTACCACAGCTATAACTAAATGCAAGAAGGGACATTTCAGAAACCAGATACAGCAGCTCCTCCTGTTCATCTTACACATCTTCCAATTCTGATCTCTCCCTTCCTTTACCAAACCTTAAAACATTTGCATTGAGTAGGACAGGATGAAAAACAAAGAGAGTCGTGGCACCCTGGAGACAGGTTTTATTTGTTAAAAGCAGGGACTGCAGCCCACAAAAGCTCAAGCAAAATAAAACTGCTTAGTCTTTCGTGTGTCGCAAGACTCTTTTTGTTGTTGCTGTTGTTGCAACAGACTTCTACCGCTATGCCCTTAAAATCAGAGAGGGTGCTAGTCTCCCTTTTGAAAAACAAAACAGGCCCCCGTGCCCTGTTCATGATTTACACCCCCATAGGCATCCTTCAGTCTCGAGAGACTATGGTAACATGCTCTGAATCGAGGAGTGTCCTCTCCAGAGCATGAAGCCTGGGTAAAGTAATATGGAGGATAGGCTGTTACCCAAGCAGCAGATCCCCCCTCTCCACATTGCTCAAATACTGTAGTCCAATGGAAAGGCAAGAGCCAATACAACTGGTTCCAGCAACGTCGCAGGAGTGGGCAGAATGACATGAACTGCCTCTGGGACTCCGGATTTTGCCTCGAGGTTAACTCCTGAAGCCTTTTCCATCAGTGGATATATAGCCACAAGGCAGTGGAGGTTTGAAGTCGGAGTTTTCCTTCTCTGATTTACACAAATATAAATTAAACTGTTGAAATCCTTGTAGTGAATTGCTACTAACTAATGAGGTGCCAGTCACTTTACAATTAGAAAGGGGCTAGTTAATGGGACCCTGTTTCATGACCAATCATAAATTAATCTCCTGGTCAGAAACTGACTCCCCCTCTTCATTACAACATAGACAGCATCAGAAATGGGCACAAACTGCCAGTGGGCACCCACTCAAGAGGCAGCCCTGCCTCCTCCAGGGTCTGCCCTCCGAGTGGGTGCCCGCTGGAGGAGACAGGGCTCTGAAGTGCTGAACACCCGTTCGGATGATAAACGAACTTGCACAAACGACTGATCTGGCCGTTTGTGCCTCTCTCCAGACAACATCTATTCAATCATGGGAGGGGAAACCCCTGAACCTGTTCTTTTGGCACTGTTTTGGCCAATGAGACGCAAACACTCGGTGCATTCGAATTCTGCATACAGCAGAGGATTGGGGACCATTCTGGAGCACCGCTCATTCATGCACTGGCCACGGAACAGTGCGCCCCACTCCAGCTGAATGCAGCAGGTTAATTTAGAGGTTCTCTGCCATGTCCTCTAATGGAAAAGAATGGCTGTAGGCTCAGTAGAAATGACTGAGAGACTTAGGGTGTTATCCCAACCTATCTGTTACCTGAGGCAACTGCTCTGCTCTGCTTAATGGCCGTCCCAGGACCAATCATTCTTAGCAGTTCAGAATGATCCTCACCTGCCACAGCCTGTGAAATGGCCAGCTGGGCACCAACCTACTGTTTTAGTTTTCACACATGGGCATTTGTGGGCACTACAGACAAGATGCTTTCATCCCTCACCCAAATATCTAAATTCTAACCGTTGATGAAAAGGGCTAAATTTCAGGAACAGCAATTCTAATATCTGTATGCTTATACTGTACTGAAAAGAGAAATAAAAAAATAAACATTGAAAAGTAGCCTCAAAATGTTGAAGTCACTCAACCACTTCAGGTTTCAACTTTCAGGCCTGGGAGCATAGAATATAAATATGTGTAGCAGCTGACAGAAACACAAGATGTAGCAGTGAACTGTGAACCTAGTCAAGGAACTGGTGACAGTCTACCAAAAGATTGAAACAAAAAGATGTATTTTTGAACTACTGTACTTGTAAAAGCTTTGTGGGTTTTTTGTTTTGTTTTTTGTGGGATGATGGAAAATGTGACAATATTGCTATCTCCAGGACCTTAATGTACTTCAAAGGTCTTGAAGGTACTTGAAGGGTGGTTTCCAATGCATACTTTTTAACATTCTAAATAACACAGGGCATTTATTTATTTATTTATTTATTTCTATTTATTTATTTATTTTATTTCATTTATACCCCGCCTATCTGGTCGATTGTGACCACTCTAGGCGGCATTTAGATACAAAAGTGGTTTAAAAACCCCTAAAAATGAATAAAGGAAATTAGGAAGATGCCATATTGACTGAGACTGCAAGGGTGCATAACTTGTGGTCCTCCAGATACTTTTGGGTTACAACTGTACTGACTTCATCAGCAGCAATCTATTGTTGTTTTTCTTTTTAACTGGAAATTTGGATCTGGAAGGCATGAGGAGCTATCACAATATCTTTGGAAGTATTTTAACAGAAGACTGCATTTGTTAAAATAATAAGAGGAAGTCATAACGAGTTCAGGAAAAGAAACTTGTAGGAAGCCACCATTCATCTTTATTTCATCAAAAACTGCAGTGCTTGAGCAACTACACAAATGAACATCTGAAAGGAGATTGTATCAGGCCTGTTTAACACTTTGTGTACTCCCACAGCAACTACAGAAGCAGCAGCAACAAAACATGGAGCATATACAATTAAGCTATGCAGACTCTCCACCACACTCCCAAAGGGTTGGATTTCTTGACAACATTGCTGAAGAGCTTCGTTCCTTGAGGCTTTCATTAGTCATTTCTCTAACTATCAAAAGATATTCCAAGTGCCAGTTAATCTCTTTCAAATGTTGCATGTAAGAAATAAGATGAAGAGTCTATTGGGTTTATTATAAAGCCAAACAGGTGTTCTTGAAGCTAACAATAAACTTTGAAGATTCAGTCCTCCCTGCCCCCAGAATCAGGGAATCTAGGCTACTTGGCACCACAACTTAGGGTGTATCCATTCCTGGAATTACCATTCTAAACTTGGCACCAGCATGTAACAAGCTCATTAGCAACTACTCAATATTTTCAACTGATTACATGTACATAAAGTATTGTTTCAGTCTGAGCATTCCCAGATGAGCATTGTATTATGCAATAAATGAAGTGTTACCGGAAGGGGTTGCAATGATCCGGAAAGGTGCTATAAATTTACAAATATTGCATGTGATCAGTATTCAGAAATAATCAGCGCTCCCATTGCAAGAGCTATGTGGAGTATGGTTGTATAAATGCCACAGACACTCATCCTTAGAAGCTTGCATGGGACTGTCTTGTAAGAAAACTTGCAATCTCAGAGAAACTAAGAAATTTAAGTAATTTTGTATAACATGACTTACAGGTCTTTTTCATCTTACAGTCATAGGAGGCAGCTGGGCAAGCTCTAGGATACATTTTCTGTCCTAACAGTTTTATCCAAACTGGAGCATGACCACTGTTGTAATAGTAAATCTGGAGGTGCAAATGTTCATCATGACAATCCTGATAGCCAGGAGAGTCAAGAAATGCAGGCAGTTCATATCAACAAAGGAGGAGCAGGTCTTTTCTACAGCTAATGGCCTAACTTTATTAATCCAGTCAAGAGCAAGGTGTCCTCAAATATCTTTTACTGCTGCCAAAATATGCTGTTCCTCACATAGGGGCTATGAGGACTGCAAATCAGCCCCGAGAGAATAGTGAACTTTGAAGTAGCAGCAGACAGATGACACTGCAGTCACTGCTTCTCTGGACTTTGTTGCTGAGAGTATTGGCTCTACTACACCACAGAACAAATCTCAAGTACAGTAGAATAAATAGGAAGACTGCCACACAGGACTGTGACATGTTTTGAAAAGCAAGTGTGACCCGTATGTTATGATTGTGAATATGAGGGATTACTTTAGTATGGGGTGGGGAATTAATCTCGTAAAGAGCAAAAACTAAGGGGTGCTCAATTTTCCCTCTATGCTGCCTCTTTCTGGGCACTTTTCCCCCCAGTTGAGAAGGGATGGTGTTGCGAAGGGACAAACCCTGGGACCTAAGCTTGCAGGTGGTGGAGTCTCATTACCCCTTTTGCACTCTTAAATTAAATTCCCCAAATTCTGTTTGAACTTTGACCGAGCAAGGGCAGCATTTAAAGACATGGGTTTGTTTCTGTCTCTTGTGTGTTCAACCTCACAATCCTGGGTAAGGTAATAGAAATGCTACATAAGAAAAGTTCACACGCAGCAGCTTTTGGATGGATGTTGCCTGTGAAATCATGGTGTCAAGAAACAAAACCATGAGCCGTTGAATAATCCCCCTGTACACCAATCAAGCAAAGGAATAAATATGGGTGCCACTTTAAAGACAACCCACCAAGATGCCCCTGACATATACACACCCTCCAGCAATGCCCTGCCAATGTCAACTTTTAAAAACGTATTTTCTTCTTGGTGGTGAGTGGGAAAGGCTCTATGAAGGACATGCATTTATCTTCTCTGGTACTGTTTTTAAAACCAAAGTTGTGAACAGGCTTCCACAAAGGATATCTTCTGAGCATAAATGTGAACCTTGATGTGTCAATAGATAATAAACATGGGCCTTATTCTATGGGAACAACACAATTACTCTCTGATCATATTATACGTACAGTCAGGCCTTCATTATTCTGGCCGCCAAGGGTGTACAGACTTCCATCGTTCGGATCCGGAAGAAATGCTGGTCTAGGACTTAAGAAGTTATTAAAAGTATCATTAATGTACTGCATTTGTGGAAAAGGGAAGTAAAACAATGTTTTTAAGTTCCTTATGAAGACAACTACTTTAAAAAGCAGGTGCTATCCTTTTAAAAAAGAAAATAATAATACATTGTGACTTTAAATTGCCATAATTTTACTATCATTCTAATCTCGTAGAAGACTAGGTTAAGATCATCATCTTCAAAGTTTATGCCATACCTCCCTTTTAAGATGATGATTAGCTCAACAGCTAATCTAAAGATGGTTTGCGTTATAACGAAGCACAAATGTAGGTGCGTTTTATGGCCAAGCATCCTTGATTCTTGACACAGGTAGAGCAGCATTTAAAGTCAGATTAGAAACAAGGGTCTTTAAATTCAGAATTCTAACTCAGTACTCAAATAAAGGCCTGATCATTACCTGCTTTGATTTGATCCTAGTGTGATACTGTTTTTTTTAGGCAACCTTTTAGATTAGCGCCTCCTGGTTCAAGTAAGCTAAATTAAAATGCTAACCCTCAAATGGAGAGGGGAGACATTGGAAGAGGTGGACACAGAGCTTAATTTCCACCCAGACAACCACAGTTTTATCAAGCTGAGCTCACAGGCATTTAGTCTGCTCTTTGATCCACCACACAGCCGGGCTAGTTTGCTCCCAAAGATGACAATCAAACTATGTCTTTGCTGGAGTGAACCAGTCCGCCTCCACGGTGATCCTATCTGAGAACAACCAGCTGTGGGACATTCACTTAAACAGAATAAAATGCTCGGAAACACAATGTTGACACTGCTCTTCCCAGCAAGTTTATAATGTAATGCAACTCAGGGACAATCCCGAAGAGCAGTAGTTTCCACTGAAACTTGCTTCCATGTTTGAATCAAGCTACACAGTCAAGCTTGAAATGGGAACATCATGAGGCACTTAATGTACCTGTCAGGGCCTTCTGCTTTTTTAGTGTAGGAAGTGGACCAAAACCAAGCTTTCCTCTAACTTGCCAATATGGTGAAGTGGCTTAAGAAGGCAGCCATATCAGGACATTAGCAAAATTGTCACTTCCTCAGCTCTGTGGGGGGCTGAGGAAGTGGAAGGGAAATGAGCGTGTATTGGGCAGGAAGTATTTTTTAAAAATAATTTTTTTTAAAAAAAAGGAAAGCTTCCTCCTGGAAACTTGCTTTGTGAGTGGGGGTGGGGGTGGCAGAAGAGGGTGAAAGCAGTCAACTGCTCCCCCCTCACCTCCCTCTCTCCTCTTGCACACACCTTTTGCCACTGAGGGGGGAAATTGGGAAATCAGGTCTAGAATCAGCACACAGAAGACTGCCAACAACACTATTACCCAGAAAATATATAAAAGGAAAGAATGAGTTAAATGCTAGTGTTCACTTTAAATTGACCAATCAAGCTATTCAGCTTGATCCAATGAGAGACAATTTGCCTATCCAAAGGCACTGAAATAATGTTGCTTTGCACCAATTGTGTTGACCACTGACTTCCAATAGAAGTTTAAACTGAAGGTTGCCAGACTGTTCCATGCCTTAACATCAATCTGGCAAACAGATATGCATAAGATGAGGTTTTTTTCCTGGCATGAACGTAAATGAGACTAAGCACTTATCCTGTGTCCTTCCTGGATTTGACTGCTGTTAAGAGCACAGGCACAGATCCAGTGAAAGGCTGGCAAGTCACAGCACTCGCCTAAACAAGATAACATGCTCGGAAACACAATGTTGACACTGCTCTTCCCGGCAAGTTTTTAATATAAAGTAACTCAAAAGCATTCTTCAGGCACAATCCTAATAGAAGTAGTTTCCACTGAAACATGCTTCCATATGAAGATGTTTGAATCAAGCTACACAATCAAGCAAAGTGAATTGCTTAAAGTGGGAACAAGAAGCATTTTATCCAAGCATTACAGTGAAACTACTTGCAGAGCAAAAATTTTCTATGTCTCCCTTCCTGCTGCAGCCTCTCCTGGGGTTATGTGTGGTATTGGGGATGTGTGTGTGCAGCCAGAATGGGGAAGCAATAGAAATGCCTCTAGCATGAGCAAGAATTTCCACTCACAAAAAGCAACATTTTGATCTAACACAGAAACTGTGCCAATCGTTTCGTTTAAGCATGTGTGTGTGTGTGTGTGTTTGGGGGGGATGGGATAGTTCAGGATGCCTAGCTGGGATCCCCACTTCTCCATCTCTATGTGGGCTATCTTACATGTAGACAGATCCTCTGTATTCCAGGTGTGGCCCTGCAGCTTGACACCAAAAGTTCCCCTGCCTCAACTTAAAAGTAAGTTTCTGAGGGATGCTAACAGCAGAATCGTACAAGGAGCTTGTGTTTCTTCCAGAATGAAAAATTAAGGGAGAACCCTTCGATCCTTCTGCCCACACAGCAGAGCATTGTGAAGTAGAATGACAATTATGGAGCTTGTGCAAAGAGGTATCTAGTAGGTCCTTGCATAAATGGAAGTCCTGCGGTTGTTTCATGGATGCTCTTTGTGATCTCCACCTGCCCAAGAGAGATCAGGTGGAGCCTGGCTGGAGCTGCTGCTGCTGGAACATTACACTACCAACAACAGTCAACGGGATTCTGCCCTCAGAGTATCATTCAGAGCTGTGCATGCTACAGGAAGATGGCAAAAGCAGATATATCTACACTTAATAGCTGGTGGGGCGTTTTGCAAATTTCCTCTGCAGTAACTGGATAGGTGGCTTGCAGCTAACTAGGGCTGGCTCTCCAAATCTGGGGGCCTGAGGTCCCTTCCCTGCTTCATCAACAAGCCACTCATTTACCTCTTATGATGAACATGAAACATTTTGGAGTTAGGCCTAGAGAGATGCTGAACTGAACTGCACCTTTCTCTCCACATGCATATATAATCTACTGCTCAAACACATATAATCCACCTCTTTGAATTATAGTATTTGTATCTCAGACAAGTCAACAACTTGCTTTTAATACCAAGATATATTTACCAATGTCTTCATCTTGTCAATGAAAATCATGATAGTAACCATGATGGAGGTTTAAAAAAAGGAGGTTAAAAAAAAGGTAGACTTACTCTTCCATTTGTAAGGGCACCTGAAGTACAGGATCTGCACAAAGAAAACAGCAAAAAGTCAAGATCCAAGTAACTCACACCCTAGGTTAATACTAGAATTATAGTCTGTGAAATACCCATCTCCACCTGCTTTTCATGTCAGTGAAATTAGTAATAAGTCCAAATAACAGTATGATTCATTTTAAAAATGGCTTGATATATGATAGAGGAGAGACTTGTAGAAAATGTTGTGCTGTTCTATGAAGTACTACTAGGTACACTCTCTGCACTATATCCCACAATAGAGCGGTTACCTACCTGTAACCGTGGTTCTTCTAGTGGTCCTCTGTGAATCCACACAATTTGGTGTTCTGCGCCAGTGCAGGACGTCTCAGACGTTTCTAGAGCTTAAAGACATGTGATTAGTAGGACGTTCCCCCATGCTCCGCCCTCCAAAGGTCCCCTCAGTTCCTGTAAGAGTCCGCCGTTGCCAAAGACTTCTATCAAAAGACAATGTGATGGAGAGGTCCCCTCAGTTCCTGTAAGAGTCCGCCATTGTCAAAGACTTCTATCAAAAGACAATGTGACGGAGAGATGGGCGGGATGTGTGGATTCACAGAGGATTGCTAGAAGAACCACAGTTACAGGTAACCTCTCTTTCTTCTTCATGGCCTCTGTGAATACACACAATTGGGTGACTGACAAGCTCATCTACCGGATGGTGGGATGTCACAGTAGAAAGGATGTCAAGACCGCTCTGCCAAAAGCAGCATCATTCTTAGCCTGAACATCCAGACAGTAGTGCCTCACAAAGGTCGATGGATTAGACCATGTAGCTGCACAGCAGATGTGAGGAAGTTCTATTAAATCCAATTAATGCATTCCAATGGGGAAAATCGTCGTCGTTTTGCAAAAATCGGCCATAGGAAACCCGTTTTGCATAGCGCGGACTCAGCTGTCAAAATCGTCGTCTTGCGAAAAATGCCCCCCCAAAAAACCTGTCTTGCAAAGCACAGACCAAATCATCATCCAGTGAAAACTGCCCATAGGAAACACCGTTTTGCAAAGCACTATAGCGATCGCAAAAACTCATTGTCTAGTGAATAAACCGTTTTGCGAGGTAATTGTCTAGCGGGGCACCACTGTATCTTATTCATGCAAAGCATGCACTGCTTGAAAGGCCCTGAGGGGACATAAAAGGTGGGGGAGGGAAAGGGAGGGAAAATTGGGGTGGGAGGGAGAAAAAATGCAGATAGTCAAAAAAAGACTGAGGTAAATTCAGAAGGGAAATGGATATCTTACAGGGGAAAGGTCCAACAAAAGATATGATTGAAAACATAAAATGAAAAACGATTGAAAATAGTCAGAAAATAGTCAGTAAATGATCTCAGTGATCGCTCTAGCGTTCCAAAAAAGGTCCAACCGAAGCGGCAGCAAAAAGGAACTGAGGGGACCTTTGGAGGGCGCAGCATGCACTCCATAGGGGAACGTCCTACTAATCACATGTCTTTAAGCTCTAGAAACATCCGAGACATCCTGTGCAGGTGCAGAACAACCCAATTGTGTACATTCACAGAGCCCACAAAGAAGAACAGGCTCTTCACTGCATCACCTTCCACATACATTTCCAGTAATCTAGTAGCTGCTCTCTCTTCACACGATACCATACTATGATTTATAGGGACAACTGATGGTAGCCTAGGCAGTGTGACCATCAGAATGTCAGATCATTGTTAAGACAGAAGGAAAGAGACATGCTATGTCTAATATGGTTCTATATGGGCCCCCACAAAACATGTTTAAGGGCCCAACAGTGTAGATCAGTTTTGTTGGACTGGAAAAGCAAATGAGGTTCCATATGTTCCACATAATTCTCTTTTAAGTTGCTTAAGGAAGACAAATGTCAAGAAACTGCTGAAGGATCCTACTGTAGAAGGAACTGTTCTTCTACAATAGGGATGGAGAACATGTGGCCCTCTTCTTTAACTATCACGTAACTTCTTCACTTGAAGAAGAGGGTGGCTGGCTAGGCTGGCCAGGGCCAAGGTGTGCTGTAGTCCACTCTTCAGTTCTGCTTTAAATAGCCTCCTGCTGGCACCAATAGAAACTTTCAAAAGGCCTGGGGATAGAAAGGCCTTTTTATATATCTATATATCTATTTTGCCTACTTCTATAAAATCATGAGGGCACTAAGTAAGAAGTAAAGAAAAACAGTCTTAATACATTGATTTAGAAATAAAAAAATACTTAATCAAGGCTGTGGTCTAAAATATGCTAGTCCCACTACGATGGATAGCACTTATTCCCCAGTAAAAATGCATGAAATCCCATCAGTTTTCTCACCAGCAGCTATGAAAACTGGTAGTCATTCACCTCTCTCCTATTGTTTACAAATGGAAGACATGCACAAGGCATGTACCCATCAGCCTCATCTGCATGGAATAATTCTAAGGGCTTTGACAATTTAGAAACAGACATTTAAAACGGCCCCTGTCCCTGCAGATTAAATCAGGAGTACAGTGAGTAAAGAAAACAGAAATAAATGTCAACTATGTCTAATGCTGCAAACAATTTTACAGCAACTTTCTCCCCATATAAACAAAATGATGCAACAGCAAAGAAATAAGAGAACAAGCCCTCCTCTTGCAGAGAGGCTCTGGATGGCTGCACACTATTTTTTCTACATAAACAGATGCAGCTTTTATGTTTTTCCCCATAGATGAATATAGTATCCTGATGGAAGCCACCCTAGATGAATGTCTGCCTGCAAAATAACTGTTTGAAGACATAGGTGTGCTGTCATAAAACTCTCTATGCACATCTTAGTGCACCTATGGAATACTCCTCTACAGAATGCTGCATACACACTGTGACAAAATCCAACACTATTTTCCCGTTTGCCTTCAGCTTCTTGTGTATTCTGCTGTGTTACTGTATGTAAATGGCGACCCGGAAAACTGCATCTGCTTTACAATATAAAGCATGTACAGCTTTCATACATAGAAATTACACTGATGTAAGGAATAGTCATACATTCATTGTCACAATTTTCAGACCCTATAATTCTCTTTGACCCCATTGTAACTGAGAATACACTTATTTTTAGCCATATGTCTGTATCTCTTTCCATATGCTTGTTTTCCTTCTCTATTCTCTTTTTTTAAAAACAAGGTTCTCTCCAGCGTAGTCAGTTCCATACATTCAGTCCTATTTCAGCACTACTTTTATTTGTTTTAAATTTTTGGATGGAAAGGGTGATCTACAAAGAAGTGCTAAAGCAAATAAATAAAGATTATGAAATCATAAAACATACAAAATGCAGAAAGTTAGAATACTTTGATCAAGCTTCCCCTGGTAGGCCCGGTCTATTGTCCAGCACCAGCAGAGGACCCAGGTTCAGTAATCAGTAACTGAGCCTGTGATATCAGTGTGCCATCCCCTCTTATGCAGGAGGGTTGACAAATGTAAGACATCAAATTCACTCATAGAAATCAGGAGATACGGGTTTAGAATCCTCACCCAGAGCTGACAGTCCTGAGGCTGCAGAAAGCCCAGAAATAGAGACATTTTTTAAAAAAACTTGGTGATTAGGAGGTTACAAAAAACCCTGGAAAAGAACAACCAGTGGAGAGGAAGGAGCTAAGAGAGGAAGAAGGGGGGGGGGAAGGAAAATTCAAAGGGAGCAGTATGTGTGCATGTGGGCATGGAGAAGGAGTTGTAAAAAGTGAAGACAGAAGACTCAGTTGCTGAGATGCAGTATCATCAGAAGGCTGGGAGTAGATAGAAAAGGAGAATCCATGGGTGGCAAAAATCGAGAAGCTTAACAAACCCTGAGAAGAAGGTGAGAGGCAACGCAGACATCGGCCCCTGCGTAAACCCTCTTACTTGGGAGAGAAGGAGGAAAGGGAGAGAAAGTGCAGAGAGAGAGAGAAGGGCAACTGCTCTAAAACGTGGAACCCAAAGAGAATGGCAAGCACCTTGACAGGAAACCAGAGAGGTATTAATCTGGAGGAGAGCGGGGAATGTTATGGAGGCCTGGACCCATCACCCTTGTCACAATCAATATTCCAGGTCCCCACTGTTGATGACACACTCACATCTACAAGGGATACCTTGGGGAAACCCAAGGACTTGAGAGAGGTTATGGAGACAGGTTAACCCGAATTATTTTAATGACGAGTTGCAACAAACATTTAAAACGGAAGAAGAATGGAGGCCTACTGAGATTATTGTGGACAAATTGCCTGTTCAGTTCAACTGCAGTCCAAGAACACCTGGGTCACCCAAAATTTGGAACCACTACACTACACCATAATGGCCTTTTATCTCCATTAAAAAAGCACAAATGAATGATTTAATATGGCTCTGACCAAAGTTGGAACCTGGCCTCTTTCTGTAATTGAACTATTTATTACCACGGTTTAGTGTAAAGTTAACTGACATAATGTTTGCATGACTTCATTGATTTCCATTACTGAATCCCCAATAAAATGGTATCACTCTGAAAATGGGGGTAAGACATAGTGAAGGCTGCAGTTCCTCATCTTCAGCAAACTAGTTATACCACTGTCACTGTCCTACATGCCTAAGGCAGACGGAAGAATAACACTGAGCAGAAAAAGGCCAGAGTGGTCAGATGCAAAAATACATACTGCAAAACCTGTTCGACAGACATTTTCAATAGGTCAGAAATCTTCATAATACAGCTAAAAAGTCACTTATATTTCAGTTCCTTCTTCTTCAAGGCACAGTGCAATTTCTTAAAGCACCATTGCATTTCAACCTTTTCAGAAACTACCTGGTTGAAAAATGTAATTGGCTTTCAACACTGCAAATGAGATCAAAAGGCTAGAACTTGGATTCATACGGTTGTGAGTTTGGAAGCAACCAGCCCAAGGTCAGTTGTTGTTAAAGACTGTGAAATAAAGACAGTGACCAGAAGATTCATTTATTTTCCCATTACCATGACTATCTCTACTTTAAGAATATTCATTTTCAATTAGCAGAGTTACATTTCAGTCCTAGTCATGATCATTATCACCATCTTAGAACTAC